ATTTTGAATTTACTTCCTTCTGTTTTAAGCAAATTGAAAGGGGGGTGTGAATAACTTTTTTCTTCACGTTAGCATTTTAGGTCAGTGGTGTTCACCATAAATTTAGGTCGATTGTGACGTCAAAATGACGTAAATTTGGCCAAAATCCGCCATGTTTTTGGCCACACATTTTTGACTGACGAGGTATTGGAGCACGATCTCCAGATATATTAAGTATAGCTCAGTGATGACCACCCACCGAAACACGCACAGTGACCTACGCCCGCGATATTTGATGAACTTCAGACTTCCCTAATGCTTTCGTTTCCCCGGGTGTAAATAGCCGGGGGGAATTAGTACCCTCGCACGGCGCTTCGCGCCGCCGGCTCGGAGATAAAAGTAAATACACATCTATACCAATTACACCTCGCTTACTGGGCTGTCTTGCTATAAGTGGGCCAGCCTGGCTTCCATATAAACAAGCCCTAAATAATAAAACACGTTTTTCAATTGTAACTTTGTTCCCAATTGACTAATCAATTGTTTAGCTAGAAATATACTTGCCTATTTTTAATTTATGAGGTACCGTAGTTTCATGTTTGAGCTTTCATTACCGTACTTAAAGGAGCAGTGTCACCATTTGCGCATCCTTTCTGCGCATAACTCATCCAAATAGTTCAATGCTCAGGACATTGTTGAAAATCGCTTGAACACTCTAGTTTGCCATTATTTTTAGGCCAGAGAGTGATGAGAGATGTTAGAGCAGCCGTATTGTCATCTGCGCATGTGAAACTTGAAAACGTCAGCTGACGTTTTCAAGTTTGTTGATCCAAGACAGTGAACTCAATCTTTTTATCATCTTTAATGATCATTCTTTGGTTTTAACTGTAAAACAATGGTCAATGGTGAAAATTTGTAAATCTCTTTTTGACTCTTTTTGTTATGCGCAGAAAAGATGCGCAAACGATGACACTGCTCCTTTAAGGGGGGAAGACATGTTTTTCAAAAAGCTAATTACTTTTACTTAAACATAGTGACACTAGTTTAAACTTATGTAGAGGTTGTCAACCTAGCAAAATGCTTAGCTAATACCACTTTACAACTTACTTTAGTGTCATGTGTGTCTGGGTTGTCATTTGTTACTTAATTAAGGGGGCTACAGCTAGATGGTTTTTCTTTGGGAAACTACAGTAATTACTTATATTTAAACACAAGATACTAGTTTAACCTGGTGTAAAAGTTTAAATAATGCCAGAATATTTCTATTTTGATTTGAAACAACATCCAGGGTGCATTCTACATAGGTTGCCAAAGTTTCATGTGATTTCGTAAAGTACTTTACTTGTTACAAGGAAGTTTTCAGCTGTTGACTTGGTCAATTGAGCTGAAGTACATTTTTGTATAGTAAGACATGTTTTTGAATTGTAACTTTGCTTCTAATTAACCTATGTAAGTGATCAACCCTGCAAAATACTTCAAGGCTAATACCACTTTAAAGGTTATATTTAGTTTCATGTGTGTATGGGCTGTCATGTTCTACTTAAGGGCGCTCAGTTAGATGGTTTTTTTGAGAAACTACAGTAGTTACTTATATTTAAACACAAGATAGTAGTTTAAACTGGTGTAAAAGTTGAAATAATGCTAGAATATTTTAATTTGAAACAACATCCAGGGTGCATTCTACATAGGCTGCCAAAGTTTCATGTGATTTGGTCAGGCAGTTTACTTGTTACAAAGGGGTTTTCAGCTGTTGACTTAGCCAATTCAGCTAAAGTTTGTAGTTTTTTGTATATATAGTAAGACATGTTTTTCAACTGTAACTTTGCTTCTAATTACCCTATATCAATGATCAAGCCAGCAAAATACTTGGCTAATACCACTTTACAAGTTATATTTAGTTTCATGTGTGTCTGGGCTGTCATTTTCTACTTAAGGAGGCTCCCTACAGTTCCGTGCGGGATGTTCGCGCGACAAGTACGGGAACTATCCCACGCAACTGCATCATCAAAACAAAACAAAAATTGACCATGCTTTTTTTTAAAATAAAGCTATTTCTGAAAGGTTTCTGATGGGAAAAAGCGTTGAATAATACTTCGTTTTGAGTGCCAAATCACGTGCGAGTCTATACAGCAATTCTACATATGATACGAATATCACTAGACCAAAAAATAGCTACGAAACAATATTTTTAATTTTTTTTATACACTGTCAATTATAACTGACTCAACTGTAAAACATTTGCAAAATTGCATAGAAACGTTTAAAAAGTTGTTTACTTCTCAAGAAAACGTTCACGTTTTTAGTCGTGTTTCTACAAGATTAAAGTGATTATATGTAAACAGAAAAATATTTCAGTTTCATAGCCTAATTGTTCATTTTTAGCAAAAAGTACAAAACCAAACATGAAACAAAAAAACACGTCCACCTGTTAATAGGCTGTTACAGCTCATAGATTGAGTAAACGGCAGGATTCAATTAGCTTCAACCTTGTTTTCATCGATTTAATCCTTCACAATAATCCTTGGCTGTCCATAGCACTCAAATAAATCGAAAAGTTGACAAAAACAAAACAGTAAAAACAACATTGCGGCTCGATTTTGCTGAATGAAAACTCGTTCTGCGCCCGCGTACAATCTTTTACTAGTCAGCGACGCTTTTCAATAGGGGAATTTCTCGAGTTACACGAGGCTATTTTTTAACTTTATTTGCATTTTACTCATTAGTTTCATCGGTGACCTATCTTCAAATTTTGACCACGAATTTATTTTGCGGTAAATTTTATAAATCTCAAATTTAACAAAAATCTGTAGTGTGGAAATTTCGCAATAAATTTTTCGCTTTTAAAAAAATCACACACTACAGAATTTTTTTAAACTTTCACCACAGTTGCAGAGCATCATTCCTTATAGATATATGAAATAAAAAAGATAGGTCACCAACATCGTTTTTGAGATAGCGGCACATTTATGGGTTAAATTGGAAGCCTTTACGCTGTCGTCATGTTGCCATGGGAACATTGACATCGTCGAAATCTAGTTCGAAATATTCCTTAGGTGACCAATATTGCCACCAAGTCGAAAAGAATTCCCGTTCTGCACGAATAAGCCTGTTTTACGGAATTATTGCTTAAACAAGAATAACTGTAGGGAGCCACCTTAAGGGGCTCAGTTTAGATTTTTTTTTTTTAAGAAACTACAATAATTACTTATATTTAAACACAAGATTGGTGTAAAAGTTGAAATAATGCTAGAATATTTCTATATTAATTTGAAACAACATTCAAGGTGCATTCTACATAGGCTGCCAAAGTTTCATGTGATTTGGTCAGGCAGTTTACTTGTTACAAGGGTGTTTTCAGCTGTTGACTTGGCCAATTCAGCTAAAGTTTGTAGTTTTTTGTATATATATAGTAAGACAAGTTCTCCAACTGTAACTTTGCTTCTAATTACCCTATGTCAGTGATCAACCCAGCAAAATACTTGGCTAATACCACTTTACAAGTTATATTTAGTTTCATGTGTGTCTGGGCTGTCATTTTCAACTTAAGGGGGCTCAGTTAGATGTTTTTTTTTAAGAAACTACAATAATTACTTATATTTAAACACAAGACTGGTGTAAAAGTTGAAATAATGCTAGAATATTTCTATTTTAATTTGAAACAACATTCAGGGTGCATTCTACTTAGGCTGCCAAAGTTTCATGTGATTTGGTCAGGCAGTTTACTTGTTACAAGGGTGTTTTCAGCTGTTGACTTGGCCAATTCAGCTAAAGTTTGTAGTTTTTTGTATATATATAGTAAGACAAGTTCTCCAACTGTAACTTTCCTTCTAATTACCCTATGTCAGTGATCAACCCAGCAGAATACTTGACTAATACCACTTTACATGTTATATTTAGTTTCATGTGTGTCTGGGCTGTCATTTTCAACTTAAGGGGGCTCAGTTAGATGGGTTTTTTTTTGAGAAACTACAGTAATTACTTATATTTAAACACAAGACTGGTGTAAAAGTTGAAATAATGGTAGAATATTTCTATTTTAATTTGAAACAACATCCAGGGTGCATTCTACATAGGCTGCCAAAGTTTCATGTGATTTGGTCAGGCAGTTTACTTTTTACAAGAGGGTTTTCAGCTGTTGACTTGGCCAATTCAGCTAAAGTTTGTAGTTTTTTGTATATATAGTAAGACATGTTTTTCAACTGTAACTTTGCTTCTAATTACCCTATGTCAGTGATCAAGCCAGCAAAATACTTGGGTAATACCACTTTACAAGTTATATTTAGTTTCATGTGTGTCTGGGCTGTGATTTTCAACTTAAGGGGGTCGGTTAGATGGGTTTTTTTAAGAAACTACAATAATTACTTATATTTAAACACAAGACTGGTGTAAAAGTTGAAATAATGCTAGAATATTTTTATTTTAATTTGAAACAACATTCAGGGTGCATTCTACATAGGCTGCCAAAGTTTCATGTGATTTGGTCAGGCAGTTTACTTGTTACAAGGGGGTTTTCAGCTGTTGACTTGGCCAATTCAGCTAAAGTACCGTATGTACTTTTTTCTATAGTAAAACATGTTTTCTAATTGTAACTTTGCTCCTAATTACCCTAAGTCAGTGATCAAGCCCGCAGAATACTTTGCTAATACCACTTTACAAGTTATATTTAGTTTCATGTGTGTCTGGGCTGTCATTTTCAACTTAAGGGGGCTCGGTTAGATGGGTTTTTTTAAAAAACTACAATAATTACTTATATTTAAACACAAGACTGGTGTAAAAGTTGAAATAATGCTAGAATATTTCTATTTTAATTTGAAACAACATCCAGGGTGCATTCTACATAGGCTGCCAAAGTTTCATGTGATTTGGTCAGGCAGTTTACTTGTTACAAAGGGGTTTCCAGCTGTTGACTTGGCCATGAATTTAGCTAAAGTTTGTAGTTTTTTGTATATATAGTAAGACATGTTTTTCAACTGTAACTTTGCTTCTAATTACCCTATTTCAGTGATCAAACCAGCATAATACTTGACTAATACCACTTTACATGTTATATTTAGTTTCATGTGTGTCTGGGCTGTCATTTTCAACTTAAGGGGGCTCAGTTAGATGGTTTTTTTTAAGAAACTACAATAGTTACTTATATTTAAACACAAGACTGGTGTAAAAGTTGAAATAATGCTAGAATATTTCTATTTTAATTTGAAACAACATTCAGGGTGCATTCTACATAGGCTGCCAAAGTTTCATGTGATTTGTTCAGGCAGTTTACTTGTTATAAGGGGGTTTTCAGCTGTTGACTTGGCCAATTCAGCTAACGTTTGTAGTTTTTTGTATATATATAGTAAGACAAGTTCTCCAACTGTAACTTTGCTTCTTATTACCCTATGTCAGTGATCAAGCCAGCAAAATACTTGGCTAATACCACTTTACAAGTTATATTTAGTTTCATGTGTGTCTGGGCTGTCATTTTCAACTTAAGGGGGCTCAGTTAGATGGGTTTTTTTTAAGAAACTACAATAATTACTTATATTTAAACACAAGACTGGTGTAAAAGTTGAAATAATGCTAGAATATTTCTATTTTAATTTGAAACAACATTCAGGGAGCATTCTACATAGGCTGCCAAAGTTTCATGTGATTTGGTCAGGCAGTTTACTTGTTATAAGGGGGTTTTCAGCTGTTGACTTGGCCAATTCAGCTAACGTTTGTAGTTTTTTGTATATATATAGTAAGACAAGTTCTCCAACTGTAACTTTTCTTCTAAGTACCCTATGTTAGTGATCAAACCAGCAGAATACTTGACTAATACCACTTTACATGGTATATTTAGTTTCATGTGTGTCTGGGCTGTCATTTTCAACTTAAGGGGGCTCAGTTAGATGGGGTTTTTTTTGAGAAACTACAGTAATTACTTATATTTAAACACAAGACTGGTGTAAAAGTTGAAATAATGGTAGAATATTTCTATTTTAATTTGAAACAACATCCAGGGTGCATTCTACATAGGCTGCCAAAGTTTCATGTGATTTGGTCAGGCATTTTACTTGTTACAAAGGGGTTTCCAGCTGTTGACTTGGCCAATTTAGCTAAAGTATGTACTTTTTTGTATAGTAAAACATGTTTTCTAATTGTAACTTTGCTCCTAATTACCCTATGTCAGTGATCAACCCAGCAAAATACTTGGCTAATACCACTTTAGAAGTTATATTTAGTTTCATGTGTGTCTGGGCTGTCATTTTCAACTTAAGGGGGTTCAGTTAGATGGGTTTTTTGAGAAACTACAGTAATTACTTATATTTAAACACAAGATACTAGTTTAAACTGGTGTAAAAGTTGAAATAATGCTAGAATATTTTTATTTTAATTTGAAACAACATTCAGGGTGCATTCTACATAGGCTGCCAAAGTTTCATGTGATTTGGTCAGGCAGTTTACTTGTTACAAGGGTGTTTTCAGCTGTTGACTTGGCCAATTCAGCTAAAGTTTGTAGTTTTTTGTATATATATAGTAAGACAAGTTCTCCAACTGTAACTTGCTTCTAATTACCCTATGTCAGTGATCAACCCAGCAGAATACTTGACTAATACCACTTTACATGTTATATTTAGTTTCATGTGTGTCTGGGCTGTCATTTTCAACTTAAGGGGGCTCAGTTAGATGGGTTTTTTTTGAGAAACTACAGTAATTACTTATATTTAAATACAAGACTGGTGTAAAAGTTGAAATAATGGTAGAATATTTCTATTTTAATTTGAAACAACATCCAGGGTGCATTCTACATAGGCTGCCAAAGTTTCATGTGATTTGGTCAGGCAGTTTACTTTTTACAAGAGGGTTTTCAGCTGTTGACTTGGCCAATTCAGCTAAAGTTTGTAGTTTTTTGTATATATAGTAAGACATGTTTTTCAACTGTAACTTTGCTTCTAATTACCCTATGTCAGTGATCAAGCCAGCAAAATACTTGGCTAATACCACTTTACAAGTTATATTTAGTTTCATGTGTGTCTGGGCTGTGATTTTCAACTTAAGGGGGCTCGGTTAGATGTTTTTTTTTAAGAAACTACAATAATTACTTATATTTAAACACAAGACTGGTGTAAAAGTTGAAATAATGCTACAATATTTTTATTTTAATTTGAAACAACATTCAGGGTGCATTCTACATAGGCTGCCAAAGTTTCATGTGATTTGGTCAGGCAGTTTACTTGTTACAAGGGGGTTTTCAGCTGTTGACTTGGCCCATGGCCAGAAATCGCGGACATTTGAGCCCATGCATAGCGTGGCAGCAGCTTCTCGCGTATGTCCATTCAATCCTTCCTTACCCTACAGTTTACCGCGTGTATCCTATTTATTCCTGTCATATCCTATTTTATAACGAATCACAAGGAGCAAACATGGCGACGAAACGAGCTCGAAGAATTCATGATTACAATCAATTGAATTCTCTGTCCTCAGTTGTTTTGTGGGACACGGCTCCACGGCTGAAAAAAGCGAAGACTTTCTATGAAGTTGAGAGAGTGATAACAAGGCGAAGAATACACTTAGTAAGTATATATCTTTTGACATATTTTCAAATTTCAATGTTTTCTAGCAGACCAGCACGTGTCTATGTATAAAACATAATTCATACCAATATGGCAATATAATATATACCTATTAGCCTATATAAGGATGAAAAGTTTAGCCAAAAAACCTTTGGTGTTTGTCTATTGATTGTTTGCTTTTCAGAAATGAATTTTGTAGCTGATGAATGCTATACATAATCCACTTGTAAATATCAAAATATGTTTACACAGGAATATTGGTAATAATGAATAACTGATATACTTTTGCAATATTTTAGGACTATGAATACCTTATAAAGTGGAAGGGATGGTCACTTGAATCATGCTCTTGGGAACCATCGACAAATCTCACTGAAGACCTCATCACGTAAGTGTTAAAATAGTTCAATTTTTTTCTTCTAACCCAGGGTAATACAATTTCAGCCCTCCACTATCTAAGGTGAAATTGCAGCTGTTGGTTGAATTCACTTTTTGCAGGTACCTAGTCCAATAACCCGACTCCTCGCAATAACTGAGAATTTTGCCATGTAATCATTTCAACCCACAGTGACCGGTCAAAACATCCCCATATCAAAATGTGCCTGTCTTCTGCAAACTTTAATTAAGCCTTCACAATGTGGATTGTCATGAATGTATAAATCGTTAACAAGTTAATTTCTATATTCTGTAGCAATTACGATAAACCAATTAAAATATCTGATGAAAGACTGGAAGGAGCCTGTCGTCAGTTTGTGTTGGGGATAAGCAAAGGTTTGCGAAGTCGTTCCGCAGCTCCTATGTATATTAACATGGATTTGGATATATGGCGATATCTAACATGTGGAAAAGGGGAAGTATCTGAGCACCGTGGTAACAAGCTGTACCAGAAAAATGATTTTGAGGCATTGAAGTACCTTCCAGAGAACTGGTGGTACCATATAAATCAAAATGGAGAAGGAATAGCAGTTGATTTTCCTCTGAAAGCCAAGCCAATGTTGTCCTGGTCATCTGTCAACTTCATGAAGAAAAACGGCAAGTTATGCAGAGCTGCTAGGATGCCAGTGGAGAAGATATGCCTAACTGTTATAAGAAAGGCATGCAATGCCGAACATATTGTTTGAACAATAGAACAAACTGAACTTTGTCAAGAATGTTTGACTGGTATAATTATTTTAGGGAAATGGATATTTTTTTGAAAATAGAAACTTATACCGGCACTGAATTCAAGGCTGATTGGGGCTGCCAGTGTAGTTAGCTATGTGAAAAGTAGTTGCAAGGAGTCAGTTATTCAACTACCTCAAAATACAAAACAATTTTTTTGACATTTCAAGTGAAGGCCCTTGGTACCAACTTCAATCGAAATGTCTTCGATTTAAATGTCCAATGATTTGTTCTCTAATTTTCAGCAGTTGAATAACCGAATCCTGACAACTTCAATGAATAATCATATTTGCACAGTGTACAGATAATATATAGTTATTTTATTAGTTTGTTTTAAATATTTAAAGTATGTATTTGCTAATTAAGTAGAGTAGGTTAACATTATTTAGAATATATATTATTTATTATTTACATGAGTATTTACATTACATAATGCAGTAAATGCGCTACAGCAAAATCTATTAACTGTGTTACATCTAATCGCTTAAGACCTAAAGTATTGCATTTTCCTTATCTTCCAGTGTATTAACGAGGAGTTCTTTTAGCTTCTTCTTACACCTATACCGGGTTTTGACCCCCACGTTTTTAAGCCTTAGCTTAATTTCGTCAACTGTCAAATTGTTGAGCATCTCAAAGTCTAAGTGTCCAACTTCAGCTGGCTGCATGCAAACCCTGTGGCGCTTAGCTCGAGACTCTTTGATGCCTTCTTCCCAGTAATCCAGGTTCTGCTTCTTGTATTCCCTGACTCCCCTTTCACAGTCTGCCAGATGCTCCATTCTCTTCCCAACCAGCAGAACATCTTTTGCAGCATCCCATTTATTTGATCGATGCAGATGCACTCTTCTGCACACATCATTTAGTTTTTCAACACCTAACAAAAAAGCAAAGATGCCACTGAGTTTACTGTAAATCATAGTAATTGAAAGAAATGTACTGTCTTGGTTGATGAGAATCTTGGTTGATGAGCAACACAAAGCATACAGCAGAGGAAAATTAATTGTTTGATTAGAAAAAAAAACGGATTTAAATAATTTTGACTGTGAGGGCATAAATGGGGCAAACTGTAAAAATGAGATGCTGTTTTTAAAGAAAGGCATATATGACTACCCACCTTGTCCAGTGAATTTTCGAACGCCTTTGCATTTCTCCATGAATCTTGGCACATGATAGACCATGGCATGCATGTAAGGTGTCACCCTTCCCGACTCGTATCCCATGGCTTTTCCACTGAGTGTTAGAAACAGCCTTATCCAGGAAGTAGCCTAAATGGAAGACATTAGTGTAGAAAATTGCAATATGCTGCAAGGCGATACTGATTACTTACAAGATGCTGCAGCCTGGGTCTGTGCTAAACATGAGGAAATTAATTATGCATTAACCCATAGAGTCGCATTGCACCCTGATGCACCTACTTTAGTAATTCACTCTGTCTAACGCCAGACGATTTTACTAGTCAAGGGGAGAGCACTGGCACTTAATGGCTTAATTGCACAAATGTACAAATAGGATATTTACCTTCTGAAAGTATTTGGTAATATCGCCACTGCTTGGGTTATCTGTTACTAAGAGGACGTATAGTTCTGCAAACTCCTAAGAGAAAAAAAAACAGTTGGTGTACTTAGTTGCAGTGTGGATATTAGCTTTATACAGTGTACTCATGATAGTACAAACCTTCCAGATCTTCACAACAGTCTCACTAATTTCTGGTCTTGTAACAGCTCCAAGCTTGTTTGGCAATTTGTTTAGAAGGAGTTTTTTGTCTGATCCCATCAAACTAGTGAAATCGGAAATTCCACTGCCTCTTCCATCAGCATCCATCTTTTCCCAAATGTTGAAAGTAACTCCGCAACTATTGATTGCACCTACAAGATCATCCACATGCTTGGCTGTTCTTTGATTCGGTGGTTTGTTCAGGTTGTCTTTCCTGTCCCACTCAATGGCATCTCTTACCAGGTTGTCTGTTAATTTATCTGTAAATAATGTGTCATTATTAAAAATTAAATAAACAATTTCATTTCACTAACATGATTGTAAATCTTTTGAACAATCAATTGAAATACTAAGATAATTAATTTGAAATCCTTGAGTATTATTGGTTATCTACCCAATTGCCCAAGATAGGTAAATCCTCTAATAATGTAAGGCAGAATAAAACAATACAGAAGCCAGGGTACATTGCATCTAGTAACTTACCATTGCTTTCTACAGGGTTTTCAGTTTAGGCCTGCGAACAGTGAATTTCGCCAGACTTTTTCATTCAACCCGACCCAAATTTGCCAAAGCTTTTACATCAATATATAATTCATGTGCACGAATGATTGTGAAACTGAACTGAGGTGCAGTCTACATAGTCTAGGCTTTTCCCTTTCGCCATAGACAATTAATATAAAATACAGTAGCAGCTGTAGACTAGATAATTGTAGGAGTGACAACTCTGTTCAGTGCTTTAAATTAATTAAATACCTGTGAAATAATGAAAACAAGATAGGTTTAACTTACCAGTAATTCGAAGCATTAAATGGAGTTCATCTAAGACCACATTTTCTAATGCGATGTTAATTAGTGGTCTGTGCTCACATGAGAATTTGCAGCTCTTGGCCTGTTCCCGCATTTCTTCGAACGTTCTGGCCAACTTAGCCTGCCAGTAATAGTCAATTGGCTTTGACATGTCATACCTAAATGTAAAACAAGATCATGATGCAACACAATGCTAAGAATAGAATTTTCATGTTTCTGTGTTTCTCTTCATTCATCGGGCATAATACAGACTGAGGTGGGTCACATTTAGGTGCATTGCCATTCAGTCAATTAAAGTTCAACACTTTCTTCTCGATGAGGATTGTAAATTAAAGGGTTAACATTCTAAATTTACACTTGCAAGAAGGGTGCCAGACACCACCAGTGTAGATAGTGACACAAGAAGTGTCAGTTATTCAACAACCTGAAAAATAGAAAACAAATTAATTGGCATTTCGAGCAAAGGCTCTTTGTCAAGAAGTGAGCGACTAACTTCTTAGCAAAGTTCACCAACTTCTTAACAAAGGGCCTAATTGCTTGAAATGTCAAAGAATTTGTTTTCTCTTTCTCAGGTAGTTGAATAACCAATCATCAAACTAACACTCTAAATACCTGTCCAACTTGAAAATCTTACACCAAATACAAGCATAATCACTTGTTGCTGACTTCATACCCAGTATGAGTAGGAGAAACTAAACATTAGGAAAACAAAAAGGACATGAAACTGTTTCATTAGTTAAATAATGACGTCACAAGGCTTGATGCCTTCGAGGAATGCCGGTCTTAATAGTCATCGCCAGGGAAGGTTCCGATAGTGGCCATGTTGAATTGTTTAATTTTCCTGGTTGATGACTACTAAGATCAACATTCCTTGCTGGTATCAAGTGTTGTGACGTCATTATGCATAAGGTCTAATTTGATTACTACATTCAGAGTTGTGCTAACCACTGCAACACTGAAGCCGTAAGACTAGTGTGTAAGACTACAGTACCTTGTAGTCTCCACCAAGATAAATATCAACTGGAATGTCTTTTCCATTCACGGTTAATTTCTTGGCTTCAAGTAGCTTGTTCACTTGCTTCAGTAAACTTGAGCATGACTGCTGTAGTAAGTCATAAGACTCTTGGCCTTTTATTATGGCAATTGTGTGATTCCCTTGAGATAAATTGAGATTATAATAAAGATAAATATAGTTTTACCGACAAAATTTAAAAGTGCTCCAGATATTCATTATATCCCATTAAGCTGCAGAGCTTCCCCATTGACAAGTAAAATTGTCTGGCATTGGACAGGAAAAAAAAATGGGCACACTGGGGCACATTATAGCTCAATGGGATATATACACAAATTAGTCAAATAGGGGTAGGTATGGATGTAGGATCAGGATTAGATTTAGAGTAGAATTTGAATGGCTGGGTAGTCTAACATTGTTCAATTAATATGCCCACATAACTCTTTTCTTACATATACCTTTTGATGACATCATGTCAGCTTCGCTATCCAAGACAGCAAATGATATGACTACAAAATTTGTTAGTCTAGTCATTTTAGCTCCATCTCCAGAGAGCTTTATCTTCAATGTTAAAGATGGGTCATCTATGTCAATTGTATTTTGTTGAATCTGAAATAAATTTTAATTGCAATATTTCTAGTAAACTTATTCGACAGGGTGCATTTGGGTGCGTTGCCAGCAAGCCTGAAAATGAGCGGCCGGTCACAGACATTCTCCGGTACGAAAAGGTAATTGTCCGGCACAACTGGTTTTTTGCTGAACAGTATATTAAATTACAGTATACAGCTACCGGTATTGGTGAAACTTGCATTCAAGATTTCACTGCAATACTTCAAATTATGCATCATGTGTATGTTACACATGTGAAAATGCTGTAAAATTTAGGACTTGATTTCGTATAAATTGACCAGTGGCATAATTGTAGCAAAAGCTTTTCATTGGCTTCTTTTATTTCAAGGACCATGGAAAAGTATATTTGCTCTATATTGCCTTTTGTCAGTTACAAGATTTATTTTCAGGCCTGATTGCCACTTGATGAATTAATAAGAGACATTGGCAGATTGGTTTGTCAACCCAAATATTTACTGGTAGTACTCTACTACTGACGAGTAAAATCGTCTGGCGTTAGACAGAGTAAATACAAAAGCAGAGCGCATTGCCAGTTAATGAGTTAATCACCAGTACTCTACCGGGTGTATTTGGCTCATTACTTGTAAATATTAATGTAACTGTTGCATTTATATACATACCTTCTTTTGAATAACAGACTGCAGCTCCTTTATGAAATCAATCTGAGCTCCTTGTGCTGAGCCCGGGGTTCTTGTTATGTGGCAGATACTCTTCAAATCTTCTTTGCACTGTTTTATAAGATATGACCGAGGCAGGTCACTGTCTGGCGATACCATTGTGAGTTCATGGTAGGCAGCCTCTCCGATACAAAATTTATCAAGGATAAACAAAATGTTCCTCACTTTCTGCCTTTCTTCTTCAGGCAAGTCCTTATAACCTCTCTTCTCATTGCCATTGTATGACAATGTGTGGCTGACACCATTTTCATCAGTGAAGCTTACGTTTTGCAAGTCCAATCCAAATGTCTTGGCAAACCATAGAGCTTTCTCCACGTTTCTTTTCAGCTCCTTCAGTTTCCTTCTTTGTTGGCGATCTCCAGTCTCTGTAATTTTTTTCCCACTGTTGGAAAATCCCACGTTTTGACCAAGACCTTCGAGATAGTCGTGAAGATTTTGATTTTCATTTTTAAGGTTAGCAATTTCTTCTTCTGCTCTGGCAAAATTTTCGCTTGCCATTCTCTCCGCATCCTGTGCTTTGAACAGTTCCTTGACCAAGTCTTCACAGCGTTTCTCCAAGTCCTTATTCTTGAGCTGTTCGGAGGCCAGTTTCTTCTCTAGCTCAGCCATTGATGCCAAATCATCAAGTTGAACCGCAAGCTTCAGTTCTTTCTCGAAAAGCTTTCGGTGACTCGATCCACGTTTTTCAGAAGATTTCCTTACTATCTGGCCACATTCTCTTCTTAAGCGCCCTTCGATGCGTTCATTATCTTCTCTCAATTTCAATCCTGTTTCTTCGGAGAGAATTGCATTAAGAATTTCCACATACGTGCATGCTATATTTTGGGCCAATGCTTGTTGTCGAGCTTCGTGCCACGTACGAAGGCATTTATATGGCAAATGCACAGTAAAGACTACTTTCTTTTCGGGAGTGTCCTCTTTGGCCATATACCGGTTACAATGTTGGGTATCAACGCGAATGTCATGTTTAAATTTGTCCAATTTCAAGAAATCAAAAACGGACATCTTTCGATTTTAAGTTTTCATGACAAAACACAATTTTGCACAACGATATCTAATATGAAGTATTCCCAAGACTGATGTGCGCTGACCAGCGAATGTATCACTGAGTATTCAACTCATATCCCAACATTCTGTGTGCTGCTACGATGATAATGGCGGGTTTGAAGTCCGTGTTATCGATTGATTATGACTTATTCAACTTTGAACTCAAAAAGTTCAGCGGGAAAATTATGAATTATCATTTGAGAAAAAGCTAAATGTGGATAAACAGTTTCATGATGCTATACGATTGCGGCAAATGTGTAGGGTATAAAAGGGAGCGAGATATCAACTCAAGAACGTTGTCGTTGGATTGGATTATGGCCATTTCCAGTTCGAAATATAGAGGTAAATTGTGAATATATTTTTGCGAAAAGTTCATTTTGTATTAGGCAAAATAACCATCTAATTTGTTTATCAAGCAAAGGGACTCTTTTCAATTCTAAATCCATTGCGGCATCTGATAAATGTAATATCGAAGAACACTTAATATGCGAATAATAAAACTCTCATTAATAAACATTAGCGACATTTGCCGGCCATTGTAAGGCTGGTGTTAGCGCAAGCGCATTGTGAATGTCCACGATTTCTGGCCATGAATTCAGCTAAAGTACCGTATGTACTTTTTTCTATAGTAAAACATGTTTTCTAATTGTAACTTTGCTCCTAATTACCCTATGTCAGTGATCAACCCCGCAGAATACTTTGCTAATACCACTTTACAAGTTATATTTAGTTTCATGTGTGTCTGGGCTGTCATTTTCAACTTAAGGGGGCTCGGTTAGATGGGTTTTTTTAAAAAACTACAATAATTACTTATATTTAAACACAAGACTGGTGTAAAAGTTGAAATAATGCTAGAATATTTCTATTTTAATTTGAAACAACATCCAGGGTGCATTCTACATAGGCTGCCAAAGTTTCATGTGATTTGGTCAGGCAGTTTACTTGTTACAAGGGTGTTTTCAGCTGTTGACTTGGCCAATTCAGCTAACGTTTGTAGTTTTTTGTATATATATAGTAAGACAAGTTCTCCAACTGTAACTTTCCTTGTAAGTACCCTATGTTAGTGATCAAACCAGCAGAATACTTGACTAATACCACTTTACATGTTATATTTAGTTTCATGCGTGTCTGGGCTGTCATTTTCAATTAAGGGGGTTCAGTTAGATGGGGTTTTTTTAAGAAACTACAATAATTACTTATATTTAAACACAAGACTGGTGTAAAAGTTCAAATAATACTAGAATATTTCTATTTTAATTTGAAACAACATTCAGGGAGCATTCTACATAGGCTGCCAAAGTTTCATGTGATTTGGTCAGGCAGTTTACTTGTTATAAAAGGTTTTCAGCTGTTGACTTGGCCAATTCAGCTAACGTTTGTAGTTTTTTGTATATATATAGTAAGACAAGTTCTCCAACTGTAACTTTTCTTCTAAGTACCCTATGTTAGTGATCAAACCAGCAGAACACTTGACTAATACCACTTTACATGTTATATTTAGTTTCATGTGTGTCTGGGCTGTCATTTTCAACTTAAGGGGGCTCAGTTAGATGGGGTTTTTTTTGAGAAACTATAGTAATTGCTTATATTTAAACACAACACTGGTGTAAAAGTTGAAATAATGGTAGAATATTTCTATTTTAATTTGAAACAACATCCAGGGTGCATTCTACATAGGCTGCCAAAGTTTCATGTGATTTGGTCAGGCAGTTTACTTGTTACAAAGGGGTTTCCAGCTGTTGACTTGGCCAATTCAGCTAAAGTTTGTAGTTTTTTGCATATATAGTAAGACATGTTTTTCAACTGTAACATTGCTTCTAATTACCCTATGTCAGTGATCAAGCCAGCAAAATACTTGACTAATACCACTTTACAAGTTATATTTAGTTTCATGTGTGTCTGGGCTGTCATTTTCAACTTAAGGGGGCTCGGTTAGATGGGTTTTTTTTAAGAAACTACAATAATTACTTATATTTAAACACAAGACTGGTGTAAAAGTTGAAATAATGCTAGAATATTTCTATTTTAATTTGAAAGAACATCCAGGGTGCATTCTACATAGGCTGCCAAAGTTTCATGTGATTTGGTCAGGAGTTTACTTGTTACAAGGGGGTTTTCAGCTGTTGACTTGGCCAATTCAGCTAAAGTACCGTATGTACTTTTTCTATAGTAAAACATGTTTTCTAATTGTAACTTTGCTCCTAATTACCCTATGTCAGTGATCAACCCCGCAGAATACTTTGCTAATACCACTTTACACGTTATATTTAGTTTCATGTGTGTCTGGGCTATCATTTTCAACTTAAGGGGGCTCATTTAGATGTTTTTTTTGAGAAAATACAGTAATTACTTATATTTAAACACAAGATACTAGTTTAAACTGGTGTAAAGTTGAAATAATGCCAGAATATTTCTATTTTAACTTGAAACAACATTCAGGGTGCATTCTACATAGGCTGCCAAAGTTTCATGTGATTTGGTCAGGCAGTTTACTTGTTACAAAGGGGTTTTCAGCTGTTGACTTGGCCAATTCAGCTAAAGTACCGTACACTTGTATGTACTTTTTTGTATAGTAAAACATGTTTTCTAATTGTAACTTTGCTCCTAATTACCCTATGTCAGTGATCAACCCTGCAAAATACTTGGCTAATACCACTTTAGAAGTTATATTTAGTTTCATGTGTGTCTGGGCTGTCATTTTCAACTTAAGGGGGTTCAGTTAGATGGGTTTTTTGAGAAACTACAGTAATTACTTATATTTAAACGATGTATGCAGCGGTTGAAGTAATGTTAGTATATGCTTAGTTTTAATTTATCGATATAGAAATATAGTATACAGTGTATAGTGTACAATATTTAACAGTGTATATTAATATAGTGTAACCTTCAACGATGCTTTTTGTCTATTATAACCCTCGGCAATGTAGATTTACTGTGTAACAATGTATAGTGTTACCAATGTCTAAAGACATTCTATAGAATGTGTAAATGTTAGCATATTTGCATGTTAGTATGTCTAAATGTTGACATGTGTGCATGATAGCCTTGTTGCTTAGCATGGGCGTTTTCGAAATTGAACAAATTAAAATACATACTGTTAAAATTGTTTGTTTTGGGGGTGTAATAATTCGTATGGATTGTTTTTTCCATTCAGAGTATTTACTGGAAAAGATTGGTATGGAGCAGGAAGTTGAGGGTGCAAGGCACGGAGGAGGCAGTACGGCAACTGTGGAAGTGGCAGAGTCAGAACCAGCTGTGGAAAGTGGCAAAGATCCAATTCTTGCTGGAGCTGAAAGTGAAAAGAAAGAAAAAGGGCATAGAGGGAAGCATAAATGTCCATTCCCATCCTGTTCTGCCGAAGTAATTCATCTTCCGCGGCACATGAGACAAGTGCATAGATGGGACAAACCGAATAGTGCAGGTGTTGTAAGTGCATTCAGCCTACGGAAACCCAGAAAAGGCACCGGAAAATCAACGCGGAAACATAAAGTTTGCCCTGTAGATGGCTGCATGTCTGTTGTGAAAAGAATTCATAACCACCTCGTTGACTTCCACGGAATGAAAAGCGGAAGTAACGTATATAAAAGAAGCTTAAAGTCAGCTGTTCATCACCAAGTGATTGATATTTCTTCTGAGTCGTCATGTGAGTCATCTTCAATCGATGAAGAAGAACTGCGTTCTTATAAAGAAATAAGTAAAGCTCCAAAAAGAAAAGAAAAAAAGAAAGAAGGCGAGAAAGTCAAGAAAGTGAAGCATGAAAGTATATTCAAGAAAGTTTATTCCTCAGACGATGAAGATGACAGTGACTACCCTTCGATTTTTAGAGGACCGTGCACCGAGAAAGAAAGAGAACATTCCCATGAATTGTCAAATGCTGAGGAATCGCCTATGCCTGAGAGAGACGAAGAAATGTCAGAAGAGCGGTCCAGTGAAAAACAAGAAACTACTGACCAATCCTCGAGTGATGGCAGTTACATTGATGACAGTGAGGTAGAGAGTGTCCACTTGAGTTCACCGCTAGATATGTTACCAGATGAACGTGTATTTAAACAATTTGAAGAGTGGCTTCAAACTGCTGATGGGGGTAGAAGAGAAAAACCGATTGCACAACAGTGCTCTCGGCAAATTCAATTGGTGATACAATACATTTGTCCGGAGAAACCAAACCTGAAAGATATTCTGGATAGAAAAACACTCAGGGACAAATGGCTGCACAAGTTTGAGAAGGAGAGACGTCCTGGCACAGTAAAATCATACCTTGGTGCTTTGCGGCAGTTTTATTCGTTTCTGGAATGTGAGTCTCCCATGAATATCGATGCCCCTCCAAAAGCACTAAGTGCATTAATTGTGCAGATGGCGCAGTGGAGCAAATCTTACCACAAGTTGGTGAAAAATCGCTTTTGGGAGAAACGTATGGACGATTTGGAGAAACTACGCAAACCTGAACAGATCCAAAAGTTCATCTTCATCATTCATCATTCATCATTTCTATTTTAATTTGAAACAACATTCAGGGAGCATTCTACATAGGCTGCCAAAGTTTCATGTGATTTGTTCAGGCAGTTTACTTGTTATAAGGGGGTTTTCATTGTAGTTTTTTGTATATATATAGTACCCTATGTTAGTGATCAAACCAGAAGAATACTTGACTAATACCACTTTACATGTTATATTTAGTTTCATGTGTGTCTGGGCTGTCATTTTCAACTTAAGGGGGGCTCAGTTAGATGGGGTTTTTTTTTGAGAAACTACAGTAATTACTTATATTTAAACACAAGACTGGTGTAAAAGTTGAAATAATGGTAGAATATTTCTATTTTAATTTGAAACAACATCCAGGGTGCATTCTACATAGGCTGCCAAAGTTTCATGTGATTTGGTCAGGTAGTTTACTTGTTACAAAGTGGTTTCCAGCTGTTGACTTGGCCAATTCAGCTAAAGTACCGTATGTACTTTTTTGTATAGTAAAACATGTTTTCTAATTGTAACTTTGCTCCTAATTACCCTATGTCAGTGATCAACCCCGCAGAATACTTTGCTAATACCACTTTACAAGTTATATTTAGTTTCATGTGTGTCTGGGCTGTCATTTTCAACTTAAGGGGGCTCGGTTAGATGGTTTTTTTTAAAAAACTACAATAATTACTTATATTTAAACACAAGACTGGTGTAAAAGTTGAAATGCTAGAATATTTTTATTTTAATTTGAAACAACATTCAGGGTGCATTCTACATAGGCTGCCAAAGTTTCATGTGATTTGGTCAGGCAGTTTACTTGTTACAAGGGTGTTTTCAGCTGTTGACTTGGCCAATTCAGCTAAAGTACCGTATGTACTTTTTTCTATAGTAAAACATGTTTTCTAATTGTAACTTTGCTCCTAATTACCCTATGTCAGTGATCAACCCCGCAGAATACTTGGCTAATACCACTTTACAAGTTATATTTAGTTTCATGTGTGTCTGGGCTATCATTTTCAACTTAAGGGGGCTCATTTAGATGTTTTTTTTGAGAAAATACAGTAATTACTTATATTTAAACACAAGATACTAGTTTAAACTGGTGTAAAGTTGAAATAATGCCAGAATATTTCTATTTTAACTTGAAACAACATTCAGGGTGCATTCTACATAGGCTGCCAAAGTTTCATGTGATTTGGTCAGGCAGTTTACTTGTTACAAAGGGGTTTTCAGCTGTTGACTTGGCCAATTCAGCTAAAGTACCGTACACTTGTATGTACTTTTTTGTATAGTAAAACATGTTTTCTAATTGTAACTTTGCTCCTAATTACCCTATGTCAGTGATCAACCCTGCAAAATACTTGGCTAATACCACTTTAGAAGTTATATTTAGTTTCATGTGTGTCTGGGCTGTCATTTTCAACTTAAGGGGGTTCAGTTAGATGGGTTTTTTGAGAAACTACAGTAATTACTTATATTTAAACACAAGATACTAGTTTAAACTGGTGTAAAAGTTGAAATAATGCTAGAATATTTTTATTTTAATTTGAAACAACATTCAGGGTGCATTCTACATAGGCTGCCAAAGTTTCATGTGATTTGGTCAGGCAGTTTACTTGTTACAAGGGGGTTTTCAGCTTAGTGATCTTTGCTATTACTTAATTCTTATATTGAAACACAAGACAGTACATTTAAACTGATGTATGCAGCGGTTGAAGTAATGTTAGTATATGCTTAGTTTTAATTTATCGATATAGAAATATAGTATACAGTGTATAGTGTACAATATTTAACAGTGTATATTAATATAGTGTAACCTTCAACGATGCTTTTTGTCTATTATAACCCTCGGCAATGTAGATTTACTGTGTAACAATGTATAGTGTTACCAATGTCTAAAGACATTCTATAGAATGTGTAAATGTTAGCATATTTGCATGTTAGTATGTCTAAATGTTGACATGTGTGCATGA